TTCTGGCAAACTCCGTTAGGTTAATATAATAAAATAATCTGGCAAATATAGACACCCTAGCATTCTACTTAACCTTTTTCCAAGTGTCCAAATTAAATTTGATTCTTTGTGAACAGTTAGTGTTAGCCAAGAAAACCATTTCACCTGAATACCTCTCAAGGCCTTATTTGTCCTGAGCAATCCTACACCAGTTTATTCAGAAATCCCTCTAGGTTCATTTTGGCAGCCTCCTTAGTAAAGATTTTTTTGGGGGGTGCACACTTTCCCAAATGAGACATGAACTGAAACACAGCTGCCCTTCAACATTATCAGTTCTTTAAATCTTGCAGTGCAATTCTTCAGCCAAGCATCGTGTAAAAAGGGGAAAGTGTGCGTAAAATGCATATATTAGTGAAAATGGCAAACAAAATGCATTATATCAGGTGAAACTGCTTTGCAAAGATATGGATATTAGGCAAAATTTCATAGAAACAGATGCACAGCAAGTAAATTTGCACTAAAAATGCTGATGAAATTACCTGAGGACTTTCTTAAACAAACAAAAAGATCACAAACTGATGTGGAAACTAAGAACTGAACTTCTGAGAGAAAACATGAGAAACTGAGAATAACCAAAATTAACCGATTCACCCATCCTGGTTGCTTCTAATCCAACGTGATTTTCAGTGCAACACAAGTGAATGGATGGGGGAGATATCTGTGGCAGCCTAGCAAAGGGCAGCTGTGCTCATCCCTATGCCCAAGAAATACTGTACGCTTCCGTCTCTAAGTCACCCCTATGCATAAGACGCCCCCTATTTTGGGGGGCTCAGATTTAAGAAAATGGGGAGAGATGGCACAGAGTTGTTGAGGGAATTGACCAGAGTTGTTGAGTTTTTTTTGGGGGGGGATTGACCAGAGTTGTTGAGCAATTTGTGGGGGGCGGGGAAATGCCAAACCGAATATCACTCACCCAACTGGCAAACGCTCACAATCGCAAGTGACGCAAGCCAAATTGCTGAAGCAGCAGCCAATCCAAAGCAGCCCTTGCCGCATCCGCTAATAGCCCACCTAATGGACAAAGCAGCAGCCAATCCAAAGCAGCCCTTGCAGCAGACACCATTCACCCACCCAATCGCTAAATGCTGCTCGCGGATGCAACCAATCACCCGTCCCCCCTCTGCACTACCCATGTATAAGACGACGACCCCCCATTTTTAACTTTATTTTGAAGGGAAAAACCCTTGTCTAATACATGGAAAAGTACAGTAGGTTTTAGGATGGCTGCTTTGAAGCCAGTAGCTGCCCTTGTGTTGGGGCGAATCTACCCTCCCAACACCCGCATCACTGCAGCTTACCTAGCTGGCACCAGAACAGAGCAGGGGGGCAGCAAGTCTGGGCCTGTGCAGGGACACTGATCAAGCCAGTCAGGTGCTCCCGCTGACTCCCCTGCACAGCTCCAGCATGACCACCACTCTGCCTCACCCAGGTTGGCTGCAGCAACACCAAAATTGGGAGGGGAAATCTGTTTGTTGCAGCTGCTTAGCAGGACAATCCTAACCATGTCTTCTCAGAAAGAAGTCCTATTACCAGTAGCGGAGCAAGGTGGTGGGTGGCGGGGGTGGGCTGCCCTGGGTGTCATCCTGGGGGGGTGACATTTGGCGCACCGCCTGCCCGCGACTCCCAGGCCTCCCCCGACTCCCGAGCTGTCAAAACGAAGGGGGAAGGCCACTGGCAAAGCGGTGCAGCTTCCCCCCTTTCCCCAATGGTTTAGGGGAGAGTCACGGGTGTGTGGCTAGCCCCCCAGGAACATGCAAGCCTAGCCCCCCCCCCCCCAGGATGCCCCCAGGTGCAGTGCGCCACTCCAGGTGCCGAAGAACCTAGCTCTGCCTCTGCCTATTCCTCCCAGGTAAATTACCGGGGGAGGGTGCACAGTTGGGGCTGGGATTGTGCTGTTGAGAAGCTGATGATGTGCAGTTTGAAAAATGGCAATGGGGGAATTAGACATGCCAGTGTTGGGATACTGCCGGGAAGACGGGGGCATCAGGCAGGCCCCCAGCTGGCTCCAGCCACCGGCCGGCAGCCGGTCTCCCTTGGAACAGCATCAATTAGCGACACAAGCCTCAGATACGTTTAGAGACCCGTGCACGCTCTGTCAGCAGAGTGTGTAAATCATCACACAGCAGAAGAGGCAGACAGAGAGATGTGCAAGCATAATGTACAACATTTATTCAGAATAGTTCAGGAACAAAGGAAAACATGTCTGCTTGCCTTCGTGTCCAGCAAAACAGCAGTATAGCAAAAGCAACATACAACGGGAGTTCCCAGCCAACTGTGCTGGGCGTAAACAGGCATGAGATACACAACAGTCATGCCTGACCCTTTTAAGGTGGAATAGAACTATATCCTAACATCCAGACCTATGCATTTATTAAACACTTATTTATGAAGCACTATTAACAAAGGAGGGCAATGACAGGGGCAGCATGTTCACCAATTATATAAAATGACATGCTTAAAACAAATTGCTCAAACCATATTAAACCATAATAAAACATTTCCTTCTTTTTGGCCAAACCACATCTTCTTCACCTTCATCTTTGGACAGGTAATGCTTTTGTCATGTCCTCATAGGACTCTCCTTTTTGTGGCTGTTAGTTACTGAACTAAGGCAGATTCAAAAAAGAATTGTTATTGGAAAACAGATCAAAACTACCAACTCAAGTACTTTACCAACCTAATTTTGTCTCTTTCAGATATACTGTGCTGCTTTTTTGTACTGGGATGATGGGAGTTGGAGTCCAGCAAAATTAGGAAGGCTACAGGAGACATGTCCCTCCCGCCCCAGCCTGACTCTCAGCCAGCATTCCTTAGGGAAAAACAATCCCATAGGAACCTCTTTATTCATACAGTTTATTCCATTTTATATATGAACACTGGATATTTATATTCCATCTTTCAACAATGTTCTAAGAGATGACTATCAAAACACCCAGTTTATAAATATAAAGAACACAAAAACCAAACATTAATATAAATATAAATCCCTCAAATCCCATGGTGGAGATTAAAATACTTTAAAACTGGGAAATAAAATAAATAAAAAAGTCTGAATTGAACTGGAGGAAAGGTCTAAAATTGTACTTATGAGGGATAGCCAATGTAACTAAATATCTTACTGTGATGGTTACTGGCATTCTTTATTTTTCTTGTTTAGCTTTAAGCCTTGCAAGCTGAAAACTGTGTACTCTTGTCAAGGCCATAGCTTTTGTAATTAGTTGTGACACTTCGAATGTTCTTTTCTCACAAGTGAATTTCCTAGCAAGCATCAATCAGGAGTATTAGGAAAATGTTCCCAAGAAGGTGAGATTCTTGGTTCTTAGAGTGGTTTAACAATCAGTTCCTCTTTTCTGGGAATTCTGAGAATTGTTTTAAACAGAACTGTTATAAGTGGTTTGAGAGTACTTTAAATGTATAGTGTAGACGGGGCCTTAGTCATGCATAGAGTATTCCCACTGAAAGAATCTTGGGAATTGTAGTTTGTTAAGGGTGCTAGTAGGTTATTAGCAGACCCCCTACTCTCACAGCTACAATTCTCAGAGTAGTTTAACTATCCCTCTTCCCAGGGAATTCTGGGAATTTTAGCTCTGTGGGGAGAATCAGGGTTTCTTAATACAGTCATACCTCATGTTACGTTTTTTCAGGTTGCATCCTGCAGTGACCTGGAAGTACCGGAAAGAGTTATTTCTGGGTTTCTCAGCTCGCACATGCACAGTAGCACTAAATCGCGCTTCACGCATGCGCACAAGTGCCAAATCGCGCCACACACCTGCACAGATCCGGCGCTTCAGATTGTGGGCTTTTCACGTTGCGAACAGGCCTCCGGAATGGATCCCGTTCACAACTAGAGGTACCACTGTAACTCCCAGCAACCTTAACAAACTACAGCTCCCAGGATTCTTTCAGGAAAACCATGACTTTTAAAAGTGGTAGGACCCTGCTTTAAATGTATAGAGCAGATGGGGTGAAAGTCTGGATTCCTCTTATTTCATACTAGAACTTCCTTCTCTATAATGCTGAGTGTGTAGATTACATTGGAAGATGACCAGATGGGTGATATCATCAGTCTCGTACGCTTGAGGGGCTGAGGAGAGAATAAGATACAAGCAGCAACAAGAGATGAAGGGAGGGATAGTTAAGACAGAGACTGCAGATGCTGCCAAGCTGTCTGGCCCTTCAATTTAGCTAGACTCTTATGTCATTTTTGGGGTGGGGGGAGGTCCTTGCCAAAGTTAAATATGTGATTTGTTATCCTAAAGTTCCAGGTGGTGAAGTACCTTAAGAATAAAACTGCTGTTATTCTGATGTAAACATTCCCTCCATAAAAAGGGCTGGTTCCCCTCCCCCCCCCCCATGTAGAAGCCAGCAGTAATCTGGATAGATTGCTGCCCCATGTGCAATCCATCACAGTCTCTAGACCAGCTCCAGCTGCCAGGCTGGCTTTTGGCTTTTCCTGCGCAGAAAGTATCTTCCTGCCATCTGGGTGCGACGCTTGAGTGACAAGATCTACCTGAACTCTGGTGGGTTCAAGGCCAGCATTTGGGCGCCTGAGGCAAACCACAAAATGGTGCTCCCCTTGACAGCTGAGGTGAGCGCAGGGAGTGAAAATTAGCATCGGGATGAGAAGGGTGAAAGGATATCAGCCTCAGAACAAAAGGGTGAAGTGAATATCAGCATCAGAATGAGAGGAAGAGGAGTGGGAGTGGGCAGAGACAACAACAGGTGGATCTGCTGCCCCTCCCAGGGCATCCAGATCCACCGCCTGAGGCGGCTGCTTCATCCTGTTTCATGAGCAGGCAGGCCCTGGGTGGGTGTGATCTTGCTCTTTGGTTCTGCCTCCTGGTCCTAACTCAGGAAGCTGGGTTATACTGGGTCAGAACGTTGGTCCATCTAGCTCACTTTGTGTACATTGATCAGCAGCATCTGCGAGATTTCAGACCATGATCTCTCTCAGCCCCACCTGGAGATGCTGGGGGTTGAGCCAGAGACTTGTTGCATGGAAAGCAGATGCTCTACCACTGAGCTATTGCCTTGCCTTCTGACGCTGACTGATATTCGGGCTCACTTGAGACTTCTGCTCTTGTCCTTAGTCAAGTGTCTTTCCCCTTAAAATATAATTGGGGATATAATAATTGGGAAGGACCGTTGCTCTGTTCAACAAGGGCAGCACTCTGACTAAGCAAGGAAAGGAAGTTGACAAGCATTGCCTGGACCACAGCTGTCAACCTTTCCCTTTTCTTGCGAGGAATCCTATTCGGAATAAGGGAATTTCCCTTAAAAAATGGGAAACGTTGATAGCTATGGCCTGGACTAGTTGCAAGGAAGAAGGCAGGTAGGTGGCAGCTGGTTGTAGTCAGACTGGGAGGTGGTGGGGCAGTGGCCCAATCTCCCTAATGGACTCATGTCCATTGACTTTGGAGGAAATCTGTCCATAATACCACCACTACTATTTCCAGTCCAAACATTGAAATGGGAGACTGCAGCATTGCCCTGGGATTATTATTTTTATTTGGGAACTACCACAATAGTCACAGCATTTGCCCTTAGCCTGGCATTGCAATTTCCAGCTCTGTCATGCAGTTTCTACAAATTTCGTCGTCATAGCATCAGACTGAGCTGCAAGCAATTCTTGAGAAGCTGCGCCTCTTTTCCTGAGAAATCCCCTTTCCTCTGACTTACAGTAACAACAATAATAACAAAAAATTTAAAAGCACACATTCCAAAGTGGAACAAGTTAAAAAATATATGCCAAAGAATTAGCTGAAATCTTATACTATTTTATTTTGGGAAGTGTATCAGCTATGTTTCTCTTTTAAGGCAGTTTACAGAGCAATAAAAACAGAAGTTTTTAAAATCATAGAACTGGAAGGAACCTAAACGGTCATCTAATCCAAGCCCCTGCAATGCTGACAGGTGGCCAGCCAACCACTACTTAAAAACCACCAAGGAATGAATATTCACCAGCTTTCAAGGTAGTCCATTCCACTGTCAAACAGCTCTTACTGTCAAAAAGTTTGTTCTAATGCTTAATTGGAATCTCTTTTAATTTGAATCAGATGGAGTAGGGAGGGAAACAGAATTTGTATTCATTACCCTTTCTTCAGTTTGCATTATGTCTTCTCAATTGCATGCCTGCAGACAAGGATTGCTAGTATGTGTATTGGCTCGCAGTACAATCTTAACTATGGATTGTATGCCATTTTAGTCCTACTCAGAGTAGATACAATGGAAATGATGGGCATAAATGAGATACATCAATTTCAGTGGGGCTACTCTGAATACAAATCCATGTCTACTCAAAATTTATCCTAATTAATGCAATGGGGCTTATTCCCAGATCAGTGGGCGTAGGATTGCAGTTTTAGTTATGCTCAGGGTAAACCCACTGGGGGATTTCCAATGTAAGTCATAGTCAGAGTTACACCCATTGTCTATTCTATTAATTTCAATGGTTATACCCTGGGCATAAGTAGCATTGGATATCACCCACTGAAAGCAGTAGCCATCCAACTCATTTCATTGTGTCTGTTCTTAGCATGACTAAGTGTGGATTCAACCCAGTGATTCTATGTCACCATCTCTTTTCGTCTGAAGAGTGGAGTAAGAATACTTCAATTAAATAAACATAGCCTTGGAAAAAGGGGAGGGAGAGGGATATGGCAGAGTAGTCACCTGAATAACAGAAACATAGAACTACGGTTACTGTGAGGTGCAGGAGAGTCTCCCACAACAGGTAACAGTGATGTTCAGAGTTGTTCACCTGGCAAAATGGCCAGAGGGGTGCAAAGAGTTCATTTGCATTTCATTATTTCACTTCTTCTCATCATTCAGCTCCTCATTCAATTTGCCATTAATTTGTTTAAATCACATTTGTTTTGTTGTTTGTTCATTAATGTTACATCCACGACTTTACTAAGGGGCATGAATCTGCCAGTGGCAGTTTCTCTTGTTCCAATCTTAAATTCAATTCACCACTTTACACACCATTTGCATTTAAAAAAAGCTTCTCATGAACATTTCACAGCATTTTAGTGTACATTTGTCCTAATATTTTTGTATGCAGTGTAATAATTTTATTCAGATTTGCCTAATATACAAATTTTAAAGCGATTTCCCCTAATAGAATACATTTTAAAGTAGTCTTCATTAGTATAATGTGGTGTGTGTGTAATAGAATCATATAACAGTAGAGCTGAAGGTACCCCAGGGGTCATCTAGTCTAACCCCCTGCAATACAGGAATTTAAGCTAAAGCATCCCTGACAAATGGTCACCCAGCCTCTGTCTAAAAATCTGATATTCACAGCAAAGGAACGAAACAACAACAACAAAAAGGTTAGGTAAAGGTAAAGGGACCCCTGACCATTAGGTCCAGTCGTGACCGACTCTGGGGTTGCAGCACTCATCTCGCTTTATTGGCCGAGGGAGCCGGCGTACAGCTTCCGGGTCATGTGGCCAGCATGACTAAGCTGCTTCTGGCGAACCAGAGTAGCGCACGAAAACTCCGTTTACCTTCCCGCCGGAGCGGTACCTATTTATCTACTTGCACTTTGACGTGCTTTCGAACTGCTAGGTTGGCAGGAGCAGGGACCGAGCAACGGAAGCTCACCCTGTTGCGGGGATTCGAACCGCCGATCTTCTGATTGGCAAGTCCTAGGCTCTGTGGTTTAACCCACAGCGCCACCCGCATCCCTAACAAAAAGGTTAGCCAACCTTAATAAATAACAAGCAAAAAAGAGAGATATCCTTAAGCATGTGCAGTTTCAACAAAACATATATACACACACAAAACATTTTGCCAACCTTGATAGAGGAAAAAGTGTCCTTGTGTTAAAGCACAACTTCTTTGGGAATTTTAACTTCAAACAGCTGTCTTTGATTATTTTATGGTTGTATTGGCTGATTCAATTTATATTTTAGTTTAGTTTAATGATTACTGTATATTAATAAATAATAGAAATAAAGTCTCATTTACTTCAAGCGATATAACCTCTGAGTAAAACATAACAAGGACAACCAATTGTGCTTTATTCTGTAAAGGCACTGCACTTTGGGAGGGGATGAAATTACGCGCACATAGGGGAAGGTGCTTAACCAAACATACCCTAGAATCTTCCCCTGTCTAACATCAGGCTAGCTGCAACCAGCCTCTGCTGCTTTTGGGAGCCCAAGGTACAGGAGGGTGTGGTCAGCATTTTCCCCCCCTTACCAATTAGCAACTTAGGAGTGCTGCCTACTGAGTGCAGAAGGCTTTGAACTGCCTCCACAGTTTCCTTTCTAACTTTATTTAGCAATGTCCAATTTACTTCTCCCACCACCACCTTAATAAAAGCTTAGAGTCTGGGAGCCCTGCTGGCTTGAAGTGTGTACCTGCAGTCCCACCCTGTTGATGGTGTTGGGTGGGGCCAACAAACACAGAACCTTCTGTCTACCCTCACAGGTTTATTGATCATGTGGTGGACTTGTCCAAACACACCTGCAGAGAAAGATCTATGAACATACAATTGTATACCTTTAATCATAGCAAATGACCCACTGAAGAACTGAGGTCAAGGTGGTTCTACTGCCAAGTTTCTGGTTCCTCCTTTGTGTACATTTGCTTGCCATGTTTCTGCCCTCTGAACAATTCTGAAGTGTTTTGCGTTTGGAGAATAAGATGGATAGAAAAGGCATCCCAACCAAAATTTTCTCAGAATTGCCCACAGAAAGACTTCAATGCATCTCGCATCTTGATTATATTGTCATCCTACTGGAATAATTTATCTCTCTCTTTCAGTCCTTGAGCTTGCCTCATAACACAGGCATATTTCAATGTCAAGTTTCTTGGGACAGTCTCTCTCTATATATATATCTCTGTGTGTATGTTTTAAATTTGTGAAAAACTACCCAGAGAGAAAGGAAAGTCTAAATGCCAATGAGACATAATGCACCTATATAAGAGCAATATTTGCATAAGATGAAGACAAACAGTCTTATATTTGAAGAATTGGATCTGCCATACAGGCAAAGTTAGGAAACCTGCTTGATGCACAAATAACATTTTCCTCCAGAAAAGAAAAATTGAAAAGTGGACACAGTATCATTCATAAATCTCCAGGGACCAGAACTCAGATGCCTCTTCATCAGGTGAGGGAGGCAAGGACTCTGAACTTGAGAGGGAAGGGCATGCCAGTAGCAGAAACATGAACCATGGATGTGGCACTGCCGTCTTCTGACTCAGAAGACTCCACTTCACTCCAGAAGACTTAGGAAGCTCTGAAGTCCCCCACCCAGAGCCATGGCAGTATCTTGCAACACAGAAACTGCTAGCAATTGGGCTGTGCCTGCTGCTGCTGCTGCTGCTGCTGCTGCTGTATGAGGGCTCAGTTTCAGCTCAGTCCTTCCCAGAGTAACTTCAGAGTCCTGGCCCGAGTTTCAGTCCTGCCCAGGGCTGAAATAATTCTGCATATCCAAGTACATTAATACAATACACATTTCTTTATTTTACCTGCTTGTTTTATTTCCTAAAGTAATAAGGAAGGAGGAAGCCCATGGCTAATTCAGTTCTGCCTGCAGATGCAGTACTCTTGAGAGAAGTGCCTTTGCTCAGGGGCTCCAGAGCCTTGTGTTCTGGCGTGCTGCAATGCTGTACCTGTTCACCCCTCTGCTGTCATTTGGGAGAAGATTTCTGACAGTGGGTGATAGCTGAGAGGTCTCCAGGGGAAAGGGGGGAAACTGCTGTGGGCAGAGGGACAGAAATGATTCACGGTTTTCCCTTGATTTCCCTCCTGTCCCCTGAGAACTCAATTGTTTCCATGTTAATCTGAGGCAAATAGAGAGAACTCGCCTGTTTCTATTCAGCAAATATCTACTCCATTAGGTTTCCAACTGCTATCCAAATGCTTTTTGTTTACCCAAGCTTCTGGCAGTATTTAATGTGGACATTTTCATGGACGACCTGTTTTATTGCTGTGATTTGGTTTTTATATGTGGCAATAAGATTTTCTGATTATTTTATTTTATAGCTTTCGTTAGTCAATGTGCTATCGTGAG